TTTGCAATGTGTGCCCTTTGTTTACTGGTGTAATTAGCGCCCACTCGTCATTTTATTCACCATAGTTACGTTCTGTTTGGCTTTCCTTTTATTCATTTTATCTTTGGCCAATTTTTTGTTAGCCATCCGTCTGCCCTCACTCCATTTGCATACCAGCTTCTACGTCTTCTAAAAAAATGAATAAAGCGAAGTTCCTTTTTTTGCTTTCCCTCATTTCGCTACTCTGGAAAGGTGCAGACATAAAATGCTCAGCTCCCATTGGAGTTGCTCCTGAAGGCCCCAGTTTCGCTGAAACGAAGGTACAAATCCCACTTACTATGCTAGATAGTTGGTCACATTTTGTAATTCTCTATAGTTTTCCTCACCTAACGGTTGCCGATTTTCGTGAACAGTTTTTTACTTTTCCGTTTATCATTTTCCGCGGGAAAAACATTCTTTCTGACAATTTTTCCATCTCTGCTGAAGGTGTAGAGGACAGCGGCGGAATAAATTAAGTCATTTTTTCATGATGTAGAAGTGGCGCCTGTGGATTGTTGGCAATTTTATTGTGCAAATTTATTGGGCTCATTCATTGTGCTAATTTATTGGGCTCATTCATTGTGCTAGTTTATTGGGCTCATTTATTGTACTAGTTTATTGGGCTCATTCATTGTGCTAGTTTATTGGGCTTATTCATTACGCGATTTTCCCCTTGTGCAAATGCTTTCCCCCCCCGTTAGGCCCAAAGCGCGGGAACAAATATGCCCGATTTGTTCAGCTTATTTTCCGCAAAACCGAAATCAGCGCAGCCAATGTTTAACTTCTTTTTGGAGGAAAATCGAAATGTAAAAAAAGGAGGGATTGCTCCACACGTGACATATTGTGCATGAAAATTTAGCGTATTTTATATTCAGATTTGTTGCGTATTTTTAGAGATAATTTCTAAAGAAAATTAAGAGCTAGCAGTTGTGTACATATGTGCGTGGAAATAATCTATTGTTCTTTGAGCACGTTCCCCTCTCGCAGCCCCTTTGTTAACTTTTTTTTTTTTTTTTTTTGCTAATTCAGTTATGGCTACGTCGCACGAAGAACAATGAAGGTAAGATCAACATGGCGCACTTTTGAAAAATGTCAAAGTTCACAAATGTTGATGTGGTGTTGAGGGGGGAAGAGGCGTTACGCTTCACTCGCATATGCCGAGATAAGAAAATAAAAAATTACACGCGTAAAGTACAAATTACACCCACATGTGCACATCGCACCCGCGGTGATATATGACCACATGCACCTTTTCAGCGAACAGAAATACGCGAAGACGCTTTGCTGACTTTCAAGAACTCAGACAGAACGACTTCTCGCGGTTTCACGAATTGATGGGCATCCAGAATGAGCAAATGAATATACTGAAAAATGCCATGCTGTCCATGGAGGAGGTTTAAAAAGTTTGGAAAAATGCGAACCAGTTGTCACCATCCAAATGGCAGTTCTCCATTTAGGAGTTTTTTTTTTGTGTCAATATTTTCTTTCGGCTGTCTATCCGTCTGTTGCGTTTTCTTTTTAGAATTTTTTTCTCATTTGTCGTTAAGCAGCGGTTAAGCTTGACTTAGTTTGTGTGTCCCTTTGGGGATAACACTGCTTTTAAAATGAATTGCCTTTATTTGCTACACAAGTACGGGCGTCACCGCGCAGGGGCGCACAGGCATATGCATTCATATAAGTAGTGCATTTTTTTTTTTTCCCCACATTCTACCCCTTCCCTTTTTCTGTTTTTTTGTGAAGTGGTTCTTATGACCAGACAGCGGATATATAAAATTATTTAACTGTTTCCCTCTGTCCCTTCCATGCGGTAGCCTCGTCTAAAGGCGGACTTACAACATGATAAAAAAGGCAACATCACTTTTTTTAAATAATTATCAAATTTTACGATATCTGCACGGGCAGGGGATTGCCCCTTTTTCAGGAAAAAAAAAAGAGGAAAAAGAAATGCAAATAAAATTAAACAAAATTTGATCAAATGACCATACGAAGGTGGATTTATTCCTGGCACGAAGAGCTCACCCAGGCGCGCAACTAACGCGGGGAAAAAAAATGGCATAAAAAAGAAAAAAAAAAAAAAAACGCAATGTATGAACGTACAGGAATGAGAAGATAAAGATGTATCTGCGCACTCGCGCCTCTTTTACGACGTTTACTTCAATTTTTTGCTGCATGTGACACGTTCGACGGGCAAGGAGTCGAATCGGATATAAAAGGCGTTTTTTTAAAAAAGTGTAAAATGAGTATGCTTAGCGAACTAAGAAGCGAGTAAATACAATGTTTCCCTCTTTTTTTTATTTTTTTTCCGTAATATAATAAAGTCCCCTTTTGCATGACTAACGATTTATGATGACTTGCTCGAAGCACCGCTAAGCGATCCATAGGTTGACTCCATTTTCAATTCTTGTACTTCTCTTTTTTGATGCCCACGTAAAGGCGAATGCGAAAAGGATGCATTTTCGCTGAAGCATAAAAGAAGAGCCATGCAGCGTAGAGCTCGCAAAATAAAGAAGACGAAATAACGCCCGGTTAAAAAGCCAGGACGAAGTGTCAGCGGAACAGAAACTTCATCGAACAACCATGGCTGTGGCAGACGTGATTGACATTAAGAAGTTGAAGGAGCTTCGGAGGACCAACCCCACCAAGGCGAAGAATCTCATAAAAAAGATAGTACGTCTAAGGAGAGAAAAAATTATCTGCACGTGTAAAGAGCAGTTCGCATCACTTGTTCAAAGCGGCAGCAGCGCGCTCATGGATTGTATCTGCATGTATGCAAATGTGAGCATTTGTACAAGCCTAACTCCGTGGCAATCTGGCCTGTGTTCCCCATTTGCGCGTCCTTTCCCCTCATTTTTTTGCAGAAAAAGAAAAATGCGAAGAAGGAAAAAAGGGACAAAACGGAGAGGAAGATCGACAGCACTGGTACTGTAAACACAGACGCTGCGAACAGCTACGGACACGAGTCCTACGTGGAGTACGTGGAGGAAGGTAAGAAAGAAGCAAGGCGAGAGAAAGCAGCCTTGTGCAGATGCGAACACACGCCGGGAACATATATGCAACCCAGATCCTCGTGGCCGATTGTGAGTAGGCTGTTCCCACCGTATGTGTGGCTACCCTTGCGTGTGGCTACCTTCGTGTATGACCCATCTGTGCCCATCTCTTTCCTCCTCACCCACGCAGATATTGACGAAGAAATTTTTAAAAACTTCCAAGATGTGTACAAAAAGTTTAAAGGCAACAGGGATGACCAATCGGAATACGAACAGCCAGTGGAAGATGAGAAAAAAATAAATCTGGAGAGTAGCCACTCCGAAGACGACTCAGATGATGACTTGGATGAGGAGGATGATGAAGAAGAGGAAGAAAATGGGGGAAAGACAAAAAAGAAAGAACCCATTTCGAAGAAAGCATTAAAATTGTTAAGCAGACCATCCATAGTGCAGTTGAAAGAATTTGCAAAAAAACCGGAGCTAGTCGAAATATGGGACACGACAGCAAGTGACCCATTTTTCTTCGTATGGTTAAAATGCCTAAAAGATTCTGTGCCGGTGCCACAGCAGTGGTGCCAAAAGAGGAAATATATGCACGGAAAGAGAGGAATTGAAAAAATCCCATACCAATTACCTCCCTACATTGAAGATACGAAAATTAGCGAAATTAGACAAGCCATAAAAGAAAAGGAAGAACAAAAATCATTAAAGCAAAAAATGCGGGATAGAGTCAGACCCAAGCTGCATACCATGGACATCGACTACCAGACTCTTCATGATGCTTTCTTTAAATATGCAACAAAACCCAAGTTAGTCAAATTTGCAGATGTTTACTATGAAGGGAAAGAATTTGAGTTAAAAACGAAAAAATTCCGTCCAGGAGTTATTTCGGAAAAGCTGAGAAAAGCTCTAAATGTAGATCCAACGGAACCCTTGCCTTGGTTATTTAATATGCAGAAATATGGATTACCTCCCTCTTTTCCTTATTTATCTATTCCCGGATTGAATGAACTTACATCGGAGAGCTCCGCAGGGCAGACTGCCCATGGCAACACATCAGGGTTGCCTCCACAGAGTGGATTGAACAAATCGCAGGAGGAGGCACCCAAAGCAAAATACGAAAATGTTGATGACTCGGGAAATATTGTTTATGGGAATTTCATATCTCACCAGAAAAATGACAACAGCAGTAAGTATCCGGACGACTTCCTCTGGGGAGAGATTGATGAAAATTATGTAAGCTCTGAAGAGGAGGAAGAAAGGGAGGAAGCAGAGGAAGAAGAAGAAGCAGATGAAGAGGGAACAAAGGCGAAGAAGAAGAAAAAAAAAGGACAGTCAAAGGAACAGAAAGACAAAATGAATGGACTCGATTCGGAAAATCCAAACCTGCATTTGAATGAAGACATAATGAAAGGAAATTACAACAGTGGATTGTACAGTGTTGCCACGAATACGAAAATAAACGGGTCATATACTCCCTTCATGGAAAGCGGAGTAACGTCCGTGGATTTAACTTCTTTCATTTCTGGATATGAAACGCCAAAATATGTTTACAATAATAGCTACCTCAATCCTGCACATATCAAGCCATACACAGTTCTGCAAAAGGAAGAAATCCCAATGTCGCAAAATCATTTATTCGCTTCAAATATGAAATATAAAATCAATCCCGCAGTTTCTATCATGAGTAAGTCGTCCAATGTTTCAGAGGCAGGGGGAGCAGGTATCATGACCCCTTTCAGCGGAGTCGCCATGTCAACACCTTATGCTCCAAGTGAGACGGGGAAGAAACTCCAGATTAATCCTCCACAGACGAATATAGAAGATATAAAAAAGGAGCTCAGCAAACATGAGGAGTTGTCCAATAAGGCCAAACTCGTGTCGGCCCAGGTCGACCCACCCAAGAAGGGGAAGAAGGAGGAGAAGAAAAAGAAAAAGAAGAAGTACTTCAAGTTTTGAGCGGCTTTGTCTTATGTGTGTCGTCCGCCTTATTCCCCACCATACCAATCAGTGTAATTGCTGGGTGGCTACCGACAAGAGATAACCCCTGTTGTTCCCACATTAAGGCAACTTCATTGCCCATTCACGTGTGACGTTAGAACCCTTTTTTTTACGTTTTCAAAGTGGGCTGGATTAACTTCCACCACGTTTACCATGCAGGCACTGCAGAATTTTGTAAAGCTTGTTTTTATTTTATTTAATCTTATATTTTATTATTATTTTTTTTTTTTTTTTTTTTTTCAAAAATTGGCCAATGTGCTTCTTTTCTTGAAGCATATTCATTTGGGTGCACATACAGAACGGCGGATAGGGGAAATAATTTTTTTTGTCATTTCGGAAGGGACGTGGATTTTACCATGGTGAGGAGGAGTCCTCCATGAGGGGAAAGAGCTATCTATGGCGAGAGAGAGGTCTCCCATCGTTTATCCCATTTGGCGCGCGGCTGAGAAGACAAAGGCGGCCAACTTGGCCGGTGCACACATATCGTACAGGTCGCAACAAACGAAATACGTGTACGTACAGAGAAGTATGGCAACGGACGAAGCGGAAGCAGACGGGGTTTACATACCACGCCTGTTCTGCTCACAAATTGTAACCAAAGAGAAACCTCCCTGCACAAAAATGAAAAAAAAAAAAAGAAAAGCAACACAAGGCAGCCCCCTTCCCTTGTGAGTGTGTAACCCACTTTTACACCCCTCCTTTGCGAAACAAATCGAAGAGATAATGAAAAAAAAGGGAAAAAGCAACGACGAAAAAAAACAAATCGTGTATGACATCATGCTGGAGAGTGAATCCTTTTTCATACTAAAGGAGTTGGAGGCGCTTGCGCCAAACAAGGGAATCCGCTCCCTCTTCGTCAAGGGTTAAAACGTCTGCAAAGAAGCTGCACCTATTTGGTTCATAATCCTGTCGTGTATGCAAAAATAGCTATATATGAAACACCCCTGGTGGGTTCCTTCCCCAATTAAGACTTACTACAGCAGCTGGTAGATGATAACAAAGTCAAGTCGGAGAAGGTCGGTTCGCAGAACGTTTACTGGTATGTGTAAAGCGGCGAACAGAGAAAGGGGACGAACGGCATAGTGAGTCGTCCGTCCTCCACGCACGCATGATCAAGGTGCACCTCTTTCTGCACTTGACCGTTTTGCTAATTCGTTACGCATGTGCCTTATTCTCGTCTTTCACCTCGCCTCATTTTTGTTTCTTCCCCTGAAGGGTTCTCAAAACTGAGGAATCCTCCACCCTGGAGAATTCGTACCAGGAGATGAAGTGTGCATAATTGGTTTTGCAAATGTGTAGTAGTACACTTAGTACGCAAAAAGAAAGAAGCGGAAGGAACAAAACCACCCCCCCCTCACACACACTTCTTTCTTTGCAAGAGAAAAGAAGGAAGAGTATGAAGAAAACGCCAAAAGGGAGAAGGAGAGCTACGAAGAATTCACGAACTGTTTAAGCATGTCGCAGGTATGATGGCAGCGATTCTTCTTTTTTTCCTTTCTTTTCATTATCCGTAGTCCGCCCGGCGTCAGTGTGTGCATGTGTACATCTGTATCTTTGGATGTGTGTACCTATACGACACTGCCCCATTGGACACGCAGGACCGCTTGAGAGACAAGCTAGAGGAAGCCAAAACGCTAATGAGCCATCTGGAGGAGAAAAAGAAAGAGCTGGAAAACGTGAAGAAGACAGATATAAAGGAGATAGAAAAGATGAAGATGCAGAATGAGTGCGCCGTGGAGTCCATTCAGAGGTTCGAAAATGTAACCACTCCGCGATTGCGTTGCAGGGGCACTGCCCCTTTAAAATTGCACACATTTCCGTGGAGAAGCAACATGGCAACATTGCGACATTGGAGCATTTCTTTTATTCCATTTCTTATCGTCAAAGATGGAACAACAACATCTCCTTGGTGAAGCAGTGGATCCAGGACAGAACGAACAAACCCGCAGACACGGTCGATAGACTGCTGGGAATGTAATTTTAATTTATGAACGAAGAAAAAAATGACAAAAATGGAACTTCCAATTTGTTATGTAGCACGAGGTATGTACAACCATTTTGCATTTTTTTTTTTTTTTTTTAG